ACAAACTCTACATGGCATCGCGAGCAATCAAACCACATATCAGAACCAAACATTTTTTTGTGTTAGACGACGCAACGGTAGTAATGAAGCAAAGGTTGTCATAAGACTAAAGGGACGACAGAAGACATATAGAACGAACGCTCCTCTTGCTTGATAAAAAATTGTAAACAAAAGCATATTCACGATCAAGGACAAAGTAGTAAGAAGAATTATATGTATATCATTACAGGACACTTTCACTCTTAGCCTGCAACGCTGCAGTACTCGGAAAGGAAAGTGAGAAGGATGAACTGTATAAGATAACAGAGTTCAAGCACAGTCCAGGGATATATTTCGAGCAAATCGGACAACTACACTTTTCCAAGAAAACATGGAAACTAGTGATAAAATTAAACCTCGCACCTTTAAAATTTAGACATGAACAAATTGCCAATTACATAAAACAGACAGAAATGATGTGCGACAAAACAGAAAGTTCATGCGTGATTAATATTATAAAACAGAAATTAAAATACCTAAACAACATAAAAAATCAAATTGATACCTTATACAAAGGACCGACAAACAAACGTCGAGGACTAATAGACGGTATAGGATCGATAACAAAAACATTATTCGGAATCATGGACGCAGACGATGAAAAACAAATAAACGAACAGCTAGAATTAATAGCAAATAAGCAACGGGTATCCGAACACGCGATTCGAAACCAACTAAAAGTAATAAACGCTACAGTAGCACATTTAGATAGATTAGAAAACATAATCGACCATAATGAGAGACTGCTAAAACAAACTATGGCCGAAACTCTTACCTTAGAAAAAATAAACGAACATTTCAGGGCGATAGAAGCAATTGTAAACGAACTAATAAAGGATACAGAAAACGTATTAGAATACTTAACATATATACGAAAGAGCAAAATGCACCCCAGATTAATACCAATAGACGAGATTATAAATAATTAAAGATGCAGCAGCACAACTTCCCGAAGGATTGTATTTCCCCTTTAAAATTCGTACAGACGGCTGGTTATCGATAGAAGAAAACATTGCGATAACAGCGTACCACGAATCAGATACAGTATATACAATTTTGCGTTTTCCTTTAATTGTACAGCCGACATACGACATTATAAAAGCGATAGAATTTCCTACGTTATACATAAAGAATGTATAAAATTATATTAAAATAAACAACCCAATTATTGTAGTAGATACGGAAAAATTAACGTACGCCATAATAACAGAAAAGAAGTTAGAGCAATGTAGTAAAATAAATACACAATATGTATGCAAACAAAATACACCCATATATCGCATAGACGTAGACGCACCGTGCGAAATTCAAATGTATACACTGCGACAACGTTATCAGGATAAATGTAATGTTAGACAATATACCTCGTCCCGCACGATATGGATAACCTTACACCAAGAAGACACTTGGCTATACTCGACCTCCGCTGAACAGACAATAACTATACGATGCGACGAACGATCAGAAAGTAAAGTAATCAAAAACACAGGCGAGATTACATTAAACGAAAACTGTAAACTGACAACAACAGACACAACATTACAAACAGCAGGAAAATTGTACGAAAATATCTTAGAAACTTTCCTACCAAATATAAATATAACAATTCCACGAGACGGAAAAATAGGACATGATTAGGACACATTAGAAAACATCTTACAACATCGTTTGGAATTGACAAAACTCAGAGACAAAATAGAAACTATAGACAACGACTTACAAAACAACGAACAAAATTTTTATGCACGGAAGCAATTTGTCTACCCAATGACATTTACCGGAACAGTAATGACAGTAGCTGCAATATCCATTATAACATGGATAATAATAATAAAAAAAAAATAAAAACAAAAAACAACTGAAAACTACAACAAATATTGACTTCGAAATACCGAGATCAATCCTAAGAAGAAGTCAAAGTACTAGAATTTAAGAAACAATTGTAATACTATACTGTAACGGGAAACCACTATTATACGTAAGTTAAGAAATTAAGAACGAAAAACTTCGTACCTCCGTTTTTCTTTTTCAACGGGGGAGGAATGTTATAGTCCGAATGATTATAACTATATTATATTAAATATAGTTTTAATAATAAATTAATAAGTTGGCTATTATACAATCATTTGAGAAACGTTCTCACGCTCTCGCGAAGCGCTTATCGCGAAAAGACGCAAACGCGATGAAATATAAGCGTTACACCGAAAACCGCGGATCGCAAGCGAAGAATCAACCTGCTTCGCTTGCATCTAGATAAAAGCGTGTGAATAAAAATTAGCCAATGAAAGAGTTTTCTACATCTTCCCCCGAAAGATGTAGAAAAGGGCAGGAGACCACCGCGAACGGAGAGCGAGGCGATGAAGTCAGTCGCTAACGAAAATCCAAAAAGTCAAGTCGCTAATTAGAACCTAACTAAGAGTCGAAGACAAGTCGCAGAATATAAACTATCACCTGTAATCTAACTATCGAGTGCGAGCATACTTAACTAACCACCCAGGTGGGATTAGACATAATTAAACCAACTCGAGAAATAAATGAAATAAAAGATTTATTCAGGTAAACAAGTGAATTAGTTAAAGTGGAGACGCCCGCCGATCCTAGGATCCTCATCCTTCAGTCGACTGAGACTCCAAAATTTTCCGTGCCTTCCCGGAGGCACAACAATATTATAACTACAAAGGCACACATAGCATTGTCCTTCTTGCTATTTGTGATGCCAATTATGTTTTTAGATATGTAGATATTGGAGCATTTGGAAGGGGCAGTGATAGCGCTATATTTAAGAATTCCACTGTAGGAAGAAAATTTAATTCAAAGCAAATGAATTTACCAGGTCCGTCTCCACTTTCTGCAGAAGGGCCAGATATGCCATATTGTCTCGTGGGCGATGAAGCTTTTCCATTAACTGATTACTTGCTTCGACCTTATCCTGGAAAGGGATTAACTAAAGAACGAGAAATTTATAATTATCGTCTCAGTCGTGCCAGACGTATCATAGAAAATACTTTTGGCATATTAGCGAGCCAATAGAGAATATTTAGAAGACCAATCATTTGCAAAATGGAAACTGCAGAAAAAATTATACAAGCTACTGTTTGCTTACATAATTGGTTAAGAGAAAAGGATGTACATAATAATCAATATGTATCTCCTGAACTAGTTGATCGGTATTCAGATAGTATATTGATCTCTGGGACATGGAACAGTCTAAGGGAAGATGGCTGGGCATTCCAAGAGGTAACAAGAACAGGAACAAATTCGAGTACTCGTAATGCTATTTCCATAAGAGATGAATTTTGTGCCTATTTTAATGGTGAAGGCGCTATTTCCTGGCAGTATAACCGTGATAATTGAAATTCTGTTGAATTACTAAACTAATAATGACATTCTAAAATAATTTATCAATCATAAATCTTCAAGTTGTAATACAGGAAATATCTTATCGTAAAATCCATGTAAATTTCTTTATCTAAATACAGGTTCAATCCAGTAACGTTTTGGAGTATATGATCTCTTTTTCTTTTTTTTCATTGCTATTATTACTGATAAAGTTGGTACATGGATTATATTCCTTTTTCGTTTTCTTTTTCAATTATATTTACATTTTCCGTCATCCATTTTGTCATCATTAAAAAGTTAGAGTATATATACATATTGAATATTAACTTTTGTAAAATTATTGTAAATGTATGACTATATACTTACTTTGGAAATCATATAAATAAAACATTTTTGCAATTGATTTGTGAGAAACTTTATTAACGCATTATAAACACATTTGTTAAAAATTTATATGAATAAAATATAATTAAAAAAACAAATACTTAATTTTATTAATTATTGTTAGAAAATAATGGCATTATTAATTGTTATATTCTTGAACAACATCGTAAGATAACAGCAACATTTTGTGGATTGCATCTGATTGCATTTCTTCTGGAATTTTCTTCAATCGACTGCCTATTATATTTAAACAGGAATCTATTTCTGTAAGCTCAGGGGGTGGTGGCAAAACTATGTCTCTACTTGAACCTGAATTACTTATAGCTTTTGCTACTTTATCAATAGATGAACTTAGGTCGTCCTTATCACCAATATTTTTCCTTTTACGTGTAATCCTTCTGCTGTTTTTTTTACACTGTCATTATCAACTTCATGACTAGATAAATTAATGTCATCAGAATCATTTTCCTCAGATTCTCAATTTGTTGCAGTTCTGAAAATAAAATAAATATGTAAGATTAATAGAGAATAAAATATAATCAATAATAACAATAATAAGTAGTACACCCATGGAATTTAATTCTGTCCCTCAGAAATTTTCACAATCTGACAAGTGACCACCTTTCTACATTAATGCTCACCGTCCATGTACGATAGACAGCTTACAGCCAAACGTAAGCTGTTTATCGTACACGAACTGTGACCATTAATATAGAAAGGTGTTCATTTGTCAGATTGTTGAAAATTTCTGAGGGACAGAATTAAATTCCATGGGTGTACAACATATATGTATACATACTCTCTTGGAGTGAAATGATCTCTCAAAAATTGCATGGAATCGTAATGAGCCCATTTATTGCCATTATTTTTGCGAGCGGAACCACTTGGACATTGCTCATCCCGAATGATTTTTCTAAATGTGTCAGTTAATGCCTTAAACTTTTTTAGCACCATCTGGGGTAAAAGCACCTGTTGAAAATAATATTCGTATTAGAATTATTAAACTATTCATAGGACTTTTCATAAAAAGAAATTATTATATAAAAATTAAGTAAATACCTTTAAGTGAGTCAGATAATTCTGACCATAGTTTGTTTTTTATGATTTTGCTCCTTTCTTCTAATGGGATTGTAAAATCCCACAGAGGTATTCTGTTCATAACTTCAAAAATCATTGCTCTTCTTGGTCAAGTTTTAATTGAACAACATTAAGAGGAGCCTTGGTTTTTTTGGATGTTTTTACTTTTTATTGGAGATACTTTGGTTGATATTAATACTGGCATTTTCCTTATTAGCAATATTTTCTAATCGAGCAAAATGCTCGTCAGATAATTCAGAAACAATTTCATTACCTATGAAAAAATTAATAAATTCAATATTAATAAATTAATATATTCAATAATAAACTTCAAAACTAAATATTTATATTAATTTATTCACTTTACCATCGTATGCCCAAAATTTATATGTATCTGGATCAACAAAAAATTCGTCAAATTCTCGAATACATAAATGTTGGGCAGCTTCTTTATTTAAACAGGTTTGTTTACAATAGCCACATTTCACGAGAAAATTCTAAAATTATTAATATTTCTTAATTCAATTATGTATAACCTCAAAACATTTCACATGTGTATTCTGCTATCATATTATACAGATATATATTCAAAGTATTACTTTATATTTATTAAATTACCTCCTTTTCTTCGCTTTGCATGATGAAATTTTATGATAAACAAACAATTTTTTGATTAATAAATTAAGCATGACCTGTCAACCACCGTCAACGCTGGAAAGTTGGGTAGAAACGAACTTTTTAGCGTCAACCATAGATAAAATTACATAGAGTAAACACGAACAAAACGAGCGTCAAGCGTTTCAGCGTCAGCATGAAAAGGTACCTTAACAGAACCCAGAGTAGGCGTTGTTTCCGTAGATAGTCCTTGAAGGGCCAGGATATCTTCCTTACATGCTTTAATGTCTGGATTGAGACATTTACTTTTTATGAGATTTACTCCAGATCCCGAATCAATCATAAAAAGACAATCTTCTTTGAGGTCTGGAGATGAGAGAATAATCGTGGGAAGAGCGTGTGGTTTTGCTTTTATGCCTATTCCTCCGGCACGGGTGATAAGACAGAGGTCAGGCTTTGAGGTCGCACTGTAGTAACTGGTGCGCACGGGAGAAGAGAAGGGCGTCCCGTCTGATTGTCGTTCCGGTGGACGCCGCTTGCAGTTGGAACGTTCTGAGAATTTCCCGAGCTGTTATTATCAGAGGGGCGAGGACTTGAATGGTTTTCAAGGGATCGCTTATAGGCAAGCTTGCGACATTCTTCCATATAATGCCCTGGATTTTTACAATAACGACAGATCTTTTCTCTAGGGTAGTTCGGTCCAGTTTGTCCGGGAACTAGAGATTTAATGAAAGGAACGTTAGGTCGCGACTGTGGTTGAACCGATCGTTGCGAATTATACATAATGGTGTTCTGTGATTGTTCGTTCTTGGTTACAAAATCGGCGCGAGGGGGAATGTTAGATCTGTAGCTAGAAGAGATTCTCTTCCGAGCGTTTTCTGCTTCTAATGTTTTCGTTAGTTGTATGGCGTTCGCGAATGTACCTTCGAGTGTATAGGCTCCGTTCAATTTGACTTTAATTAATAAGTCGGGCGAAAGTCCGTTGACGAAACTATGGAGGACATTATAGTTGATATTTTCTCTGACGGTTTCGTCTATCTCATCATAGCCATCACTTTCACCGTCCATTATAGCGGATTGCAATTCCTTTACTCTTGCGATATAATCGAAAATATTTTCATTAGACTTCATATAGATGTTTGCGAGCTCACCGCGATATTGGTCTACTGTTTTATTGGGTCCGAAAATTAATTTTAATTGTCGTGTTGTGCATGTGAACAGAGGTGTATTCTTGTCCTTCTATTGCAGAATAAGCATGTCCTTGAAGTTTATTAATTATAAATTGCACTAAATATTGCTCGTGATGCTGCGGTATTAGTTCAAGAGCTCGCTCACATATTTTGCTGAAGTGAAAAACGGACATTTTGTGTTTATCGTATTTCGGAATCGAATCAACTACATTTTTAAACCGAATCGGGGAAGTTGTATCGGGATGGTTTAGTTCGCGAGGATCGTCTGCAGGAACATCAAAATGGATTCGCTGTCGACTAGAGTAAGAGTCGGTAGATTGGTTACTAATACGTTGATTCAAAATCTCTACTTGTTTAGGCAAGAAACTAAGGAGAGAGACTTGTTCGATTAAGGTATTTAATATGGAATTAAGTTGTTCATCCGATCTCCTGGCTTCCCTAGCTTCCGCTCCTCGCAGTGTTTTGAATTCTTCCGTTCGTTTTGATAGAAATCTAGTTTGTTCTCTGAGCGATTTTTCCTTTTCATCCATCATTCGGGAAATTGATTCAATATCTAAATGCGTCGAGCTCTCTCCACCCTCGGAAGGAGGATTAGAGCTTTGTGATCGTGTAGTTGGCATGTTGAATTAATTAATGTACTTGTTTTGAAAGTTGCTTGAAGATGTATTAGTAAAATTATTGAATTTTAATTAGAGCCAAATAAATGACAAATTTATAGGTTTTGCGACGGGGGTCCAAACACTTAATTGTTTTGTAATCAGGATATTTGTGTTCGAATTCTATTGATGTTAGTTTATAATTAATGCATGCGCATTCGTTGGATTGCGATTTAGCCGTGCTAAGCTCGTTATTCGGAATATGCACAAGGTTTTGGATAAAAGAGGATATTTTATTAAACTAAAAATTAATCCTTTTGTTTAGAACGCGATGTCCACCTTTCCTGGGCATTTGTAAAGAAATGTTAAAATGCGTTCAAGATTTAGCTGTAGCCACCCTAATCGTCAGCGACAGCTATTGTAATCACACAAAGTCAAATCTCAAACTATGATTATCATTTGGAAAGCGAACTAGATATAATTAAGAGTTCAATTTAATCGACTGTAGCACCCTAATCGTCAGCGACAGCGATAATTGTAGCCACACCTTTTGGCAGTGACAATTTGATCGAACTTCAGCTTATACCGGTTGTTCGCTTATGAAATTAAATTTTATTTTAACGAAAAGGATTAATCTTAAAGCCTTCACGCAGGAAGATCTTTTATCAGTTCGTTTGGCAATCCCACCGCTGCCACCAAAATTAAAAGAGGAACCTGTCACGTCCAGACGATGGTTCCTTTCTCTTCCTACGCCTAGGTTAGGGAGAAAAGAGGGCGCTCTTTTTTTTGCGGGGCAACCTGCTTACACCGGCTATACCCCAGGGACGCCGAGAGCTATGACTGATGTTGGAGATCTGGGGCTGGGAAGGCACTAGGATGGAGAATTTGAGTCACTAGTAGGTGTGGCAAAACCTCGTGTAAGATTCTTGAAGTTTTCTAAAACGGAGATTACTTCGTTGGCGGTCAAATCGTCCATCATAAAATCACAAACGACGCTAACTAATGCTTTGAATAACAATTTTAACATAAACTTGTTTATAGCTCTATCAACGATCGCGCAGTTCATTTATAATTTAGTAAAAGGAGTCAAAATTATCCTTTATGATTTCTACTCTTAATTTCCCTTTGGGAAAGTAAAGATTTTCTACGAGGACTGTGAACAAATCTGTATCTATTAATCCTGTAGCTAACAAGGGAAGTTCGGCAAGTGTAAAATTCAAAAAAATCTGAAACTTTGTATAAGTTTAGAGTAGATGAACCTAATCACGAAACAATTTTTTTTAGCTGCTGATATTCGGTTTTAGGGGTGCAGCATCCCCTTAAATAAAATCGGTGTTTACGTTTTCAAGCGAATATCGCCGAAATAATGAGAAATATAAAAAAATGTTTCCAGCAAAAGTTTTATGGTTTCGAAAGCTCTTTATAATGGCATGATCATATTTTGCAAAAATGTTTAATTTTTCAAAATACCCCCACCACGTATCTTTTTTTTTCATATTTAAATTTTTCTTGCAACTAAAATTAAAGTTTATTTCACGCCAAATTCAACCATATATAATAAAGTTGCGATCCGTAAACGTGTTTTTGAGAAATAAACTGAAAACATCCTTACAGGGTATGCTGTCAATTTTATCGGCCCGCTAATTTTGGCTACGACTTCTCTTTCTCCCCTTCTCTCTGTAATTTTTCGCAATACAAGATAACGATGAAACAGATGTTCGTAATAAATCTAATCACGTAACTGATTTTTGTATATTACACATTTTATAAATAATATAGTAGTCAAAATATATCGTAAGAGAAAAATCAAAGTTATCGATAAAGTAATTTCTGATTTAGACCTTTGGTAAAAAAAATTAAAGATTATCGTCTAGAATGAAATAAACACGGATGCACTAACGTATATGTAATATTTCCTGTTATGTACGTCATTATATTTATGAGAACGTTATCAACTTTGAATAGTTGAAAGGTTGAAGGATTATCGAGATTGATGTGATGCAATAAAAGGGAAGGTTATGGGAAGGCTATCTTTAATGTTCGTTTTCCTTATACAATTAGTATAAAAGCCATCCGCTTCTGCATTTCATTCATGTTATTTAATATATTGTACGTGTGATACTTTCTGTGGGAAAATTTCATATAACATTTATTCAAGCATTTATGTCAAAATGTTGGCCATAAATACGGCGAACGTTATAAATTTGTTAATTACAACGTTTCACATTGCAAATCTCGCTGTCACTCCTGTTAATCATCGTGAAGTAGAACTCCACGATGCAATTTCAAATTTAATAAGGGATTCTCTAAAAGACGATATTACGATTGAATATGATTGGGGACTTGATTTTGATGATCCATCGGAACCTCAAGCTGTACAGTTTGTAGATTCGTATGATCCTCATGCTGAAGAAGATAACTATGAAGATGAAGTTTGTATTGTAGATGACGAAGGTGGAAGTGTAGATTTAAATTATAAAAGAAAAGCGGTTGAATATTGGAACAGTGGAAAAAAAAGACGTTTATCCGTTTCTGTTGTACAGAATCGTTTTAGAAAGGTAAATTCTCATTAAAAAATAAGTACAATACTAACTAAATATAGATAAACGTGTATAAATATCATAGTGGATAATAAACAGAAGTCAGGAACAACGTTTCATGTCGCATGTTCATCTGCATTCGATTAATTTTCTTGTGTTTGATATAATCTTTTAAATATTGGATCTTTTTTCTCTTTTAGGTAAAACATGTTTCGCAATTGTACAGATGGCAGGAGTATATAATGCGTGGAGGGACAAACAGAGACAAATTGATATTCATTGCCGAATATGTATTAATAAAATTTCAAGAAACTATTGATAGAGGATCTATTATTCATGACATCGATTTGCGAAGGTGGGCGCTAGAAGCAAAGGAGCAAGTGAATTTTGCTACATTTAAAGCAGGACATTGGTGGATATGGAATTTTAAAAAAGCTCATCGCATTACATCACGTAAAATAACGAAATTTAAAACGCAATCTAATTTACAAGCTGATGCACTGATACATCAAAATGCAGAAGAATTTGTGACAAATGTAAAACCACATATTGCTATAACTGGTGAAGGATCAACTTATAATGCAGATGAAAGCGGTTTTAATCTAGAAATACATTCTGGAAGAACATTAACTAATATGGGAGTAAAGACAGTCGAAGCTACTGTTCAATCTTTATCTTCTATAAGTCATAGTTATACTATTATGCCAATTATATCTGCGGACGGGTATCTTCTTTCGCCTCTATATATAGTCTTAAAAGAAACTACTGGGTCGTTTGAACCACGAGTAGAAGAAACTCTTTTTCGACCTGCTAATGTTTACATTGCGGCTTCAAAATCCGGAAAGCTCACAACCCAACACTTTAAAAATTGGTTTTTAGAGGTATATCTTCCGAATACTAAAGAGAAAAGTTTGCTGTTGCTAGATTCATGGACAGGCCATTGCCCGGAACAGTTAATAGAACTTGTACCAAAAGACAAACAAGTAAATATTTTAACAATACCAAAAAAAACAACTGCTTTTATACAACCTTTAGATGTTTTTGGCTTTAGAATCTGGAAAAATTTTATTCGAAGCTTCTCTGATAATGTTATTTTAAATAATTACGATATAAATTTACATTTACGCAATAACATTATAAAATTACAGTCTTTGGCACACAATCAACTTTCTTCTCCAAGATTTCGAAATTTATTTAAATATAGTTGGTATAAAAGTGGCTATTTATCAACACGGCCTGAAAAGTTTGAAAATCCAATCAATTACTGTTCTTTTAAAGAAGAAAAACATATACCGAAATGTAGCATTTGTGATAAAATGGCTTTTATACGTTGTGCATGGTGCAAAAAATACTTCTGTTTTGAACACTTCTTTGAACAATACCATTATTGTAACAATTATATAGAATAAATAATATCTTATTTTTGTAAAAACTACTATATTATTTATAAAATGTGTAATATACAAAAATCAGTTACGTGATTAGATTTATTACGAACATCTGTTTCATCGTTATCTTGTATTGCGAAAAATTACAGAGAGAAGGGGAGAAAGAGAAGTCGTAGCCAAAATTAGCGGGCCGATAAAATTGATAGCATACCCTGTAAGGATGTTTTCAGTTTATTTCTCAAAAACACGTTTACGGATCGCAACTTTATTATATATGGTTGAATTTGGCGTGAAATAAACTTTAATTTTAGTTGCAAGAAAAATTTAAATATGAAAAAAAAAGATACGTGGTGG